GCTTCCTGGAGCTCACAATGGGCCTTAGGCCCATTTCCTTCAAAGGATCACAACCCAAGATATTGCATGGCCAACTTAGGCTAGATTTGTATGGCATGGGACCCCATAGTGACTTCACATATGTCCACATGGGTTCAGCCCAGCCTCTATGAAAAGGCTTAGTCAAATTTACTGCTAAACGCAGTGAACCCTTGAGAGCATCACTATGGGCCCAATATGGACTAACATTTACACCTAAATGATCTTTGAATTTAGCCATCCTATGAAAACCCAAGGTTAATGGACTTAAGTTAGATAAAGCCCATCAAGTAATCAACCCTGTAATGGTATCTTACAATCAACCTCTCAGCCCATAATGATTAAAACGCTACCCGACAGGGAAGGACCTCTCCCATGGGTACAAGGTGCAGTGTCACACTCTCTACTCAGATGGATCCTGAGAATTAAAACCTCTTGCAAACATTTTTCATAAAAACATAATATATATCATATAAATATATTTTGCAAAATCAAATTTCAAACATTTTTCATAAACCATACTATGCCTAGTCGCTTTGGCACCTAGGCACTTCAGGTTATAATCCCATACTTAATCTATTTTTGAAGTTTATCTTTCGAAGAAGGTAAACGCGAGGTGTAAAAAAAGCAAATTTCATTAAAGGCAACAAAGAGTTACATCATAAAAAAAAATCATGCCGTAGCTCCCTTGTCGACCTCATCTTCCTCATCCTCGAAGTCAACCTCTAGATCGACCCGAACTATCATCTCGTTCGTGTAGGCCAAAGACTTTATCTTGGAAAGGTTGACCTCGGGGTACACCGACCCCATTAGCATCTGACACAGCTTGAAACCTTGGCGAAAAGTGTTAGTGTCAAACTCCTCCCTTTCCTTCAGGAAGTCCAATGAAGTCTTGAACTCCTTGATTGCTCGGACCCTGGCAGCCTGGACCTCGTCGAGGAGCTTTGCCTCATGTTTGATGAAGAAAGCTTCCTTTTCTTCTAGCTCCTGGTTGAGCTTCTCTACGTGAAGCTCCAACTCACCAATCCGGTTCCGCTCTACAACTAGCTTGTTTTTTAGGTCGTTGATGAATGAAACAACTCGTTTAACCCGAGATTGGTACTCGCTCACCGCCGCCTCGACAGATTGGGCCCTCGCTAGATGCCTTTCAAATTGCTTGACCAGGGGAGTTCGGGTGCGAAACCAACTTTGGACTAGACGGGTTGAGGATCTCGAACACACATCGTGAGGCCCATAGTAGCTCGCCTATATAAAGGCATAGCCTCAAGCCTCACAAGGTATGCACAATTCAACTCTCTTAATATTCTAGCAATATTGCTTTCAACTGTCTCAAAAACCTCTAATTTGCTAAGTGCCTACACTGGGTAAACCACCCTGGACACTTTGACCTCTTTTTCTTATAGCTCGAGTAGGCGACCTCGTTAGTCCAACTTCCGAGCTGTCCTCCAATAGGGAGCATTAGATCACACATCATCAAAATTCACTCTAAAATTATACATACATGTATTTATGCAAATATATATATATACATATATTTTATGTATATATGTATGCAAAATATGTATGTAAATAAATAAATACATATATGTAAATATGTATGCAAAATATGTATGTAAATAAATAAATACATATATGTAAATATGTTTGCAAAATTAATATATATAGTTGAGTTGGACTGGTTTGGTCTACCAAGGGCAAGGCCCGGGCTTGACTCGAAAAATAAAAAAGTCTGATTTCTTGGACCCAAGCCTAACCAGAGAACGAAAATCTAAACCCAACCCATGTAAAATTTTGAGCCAATCCAGGCTCGGATTGGGCATGCGCAAGTTTTACACCCCTTATTTGGCCCTCCGCAACCCCGGGTTGGGCACGCGCAAGTTGCACCCCTACTTATTATTGGCCTTGCGAAACCCCGTAAGTATACATAGGTATATATATATGGTTACTCAGGATACAGAGAAGACTGTAACTCCGAGTTGCGGATTCCAATAAACAGCAGTAAAGCTTTGACTTTCTCCATCCATTTGTTTTGTGTCTTCGTTTTTTCCTTCACACGTCGCAGACTCCCAATTAATATTACATCAAGTCCAACCCTCAAACCAAACCAAAAAAGGGTTTGTGTAGTCGAGTAGCCATCAATAAAGTCGCCAAACCAGAGTAATAGATGAAACAATTTTACAATCCTCAATTAGAACAGTCCGGTTCTACCAAACGAACAAAAGAAGTTAGAAGTCAGTCCGGTAATTGAGTTTCGTACGATTTCCATTATAAATATATAATATATTAATTAATAAAAAAGGAGAATATAGTTGATTTTTAAAAGGGAATTAGTTGTTGAAAAGTATTCTATGATGGGTTGGGTCTGATCGACGACTTCTGCTATTTAAAATTTATAAATACTCTCATAGGAAATTTCCTTGTTTTCTTCGGAATTTCTTCTTCCTTATTCGTCTGTTTTCACTGAATTAGGGTTTGCCTGCTTGTGACTCCTAAACTAATTTTTGTTGGGTTCCATTTTGACATTTTCTGTTGGGTTCCATTTTGACATTTTCTGTTGGCTTTGATTGACTATCGGTGTTATTCTTGTTAAAAGTTTCAGGAAATCTAGGTTTTTGAGGTATTTGGTTCTGAAATCGGCTTATAACAGGGCTTTGGCTGCGGTGCACCAGTTTGGGGATGTTCTGGAAAGCTGGGAGTTTCTTCGCACGACCTTGAAAACGTTACAGAAATTAGGGTTTCTAGCTGTGCTTGATTTTTATTTTTGTTGGGTTCTGTTGATGATTTGGAGTAACAGCTTGTTAATTAGGTGTGGAGTTACTGGGTTTTCTGTTCAAAGGGAGTTAAAGAGGAATGATTGAGTGATGGCTCCTAAAGGAACTACACCGCAGAAAGCTGCCGAGGTTGCGATTCAGTCAATTGGGCTGGGATATGATGTTTCTGAGGATCTGAGGCTCAAGTACTGTAAGAGGGATTCGTCTGGTTCACGGTTAATTGAGTTTGATGAAGATCAGGTTCAGGAAATTGTTCTACCTGGTGGTATCAAAGTTCCAAATGTGCCTAAGTGGATCAAATGCGATAAAGGGGAACGGATGCGTTTCAGGTCCGATGTGCTCTCGTTTCAGCAGGTATTCATTGTCTCTCTCTCATGGGTTCGACTTAGTTTGGTAATTTGTTTTTTTTTGCTTCTTAGAAAAACCAAACTGGGTATCTTTCTGTTATAACGAACTTCAGAATTCATTGTCTGAGTCTCTTTATTCATAGATCAGGCCGAAGGAACATGTGCTGCTTTTCCTCATTGTTAATTGAGCAATCCCTGAAATTGTCTATAAAAGAAGGGAAGAAACATTGTAACTTTCTTCTCCTAGTTATACTTATACATTACATATAACACATGAATAATGCCCCTAATAAATTAATTGAAGTAGAATTGATTTGCATGATGATTTTTATTTAATTTTATTATATGTCATTTTATTTTTCGAGGATCCACACTCTTTCAGGATTTCCCATGATAAATTGGTGTGATGCAAGAATTTGTGTACATTACTTGCATAAATAACGCCATTACATGAAGTATGAAAGGTAAAAATTCACAATGAATGCAGTTAGTGAAGAATAGAACTGGACTGAAGCTCTAATTTTTGGTATTAGCATATGAAAGCCTTAAATGCAACAGACAATAAGTACCTTGATGCTGTTCAGTGTTTAGGCATTTTGACGTTTTGGTTTCTCTCAGATGGCGGAGCAATTTAACCAGGAAATATCTTTGTCTGGAAAAATCCCCTCAGGCGTTTTCAATTCAATGTTTGATTTTTCGGGTTGCTGGCAGAAAGATGCAGTCAACACTAAAACCCTTGCTTTTGATGGTTGGTTCATTTCACTATATACCATTGCATTGGCAAAATCTCAGATAATACTGCGAGATCATGTGAAACAAGCTGTCCCATCATCATGGGATCCTGCTGCATTGGCGAAGTGAGATTCTGTCCTCACCATTTTACTTTTCATGGGATTGATGATATATATACACATTTGCAAAAGAACTCTTTGAATAATTCAGGTCTACGGATGAATTTCTGTGGCCTTTACTGTGTTTACCTAATACTCTTTTTTTTGATAATCACCTAATACTCACTCTTTTCATTGTTTTCATTTATACACAAACATGGTGATATGCATGCTTTTAGTGGCAATATGATACACACCTGGTTTAAAATGTCCACATATTTCCTAATTTTCCCACGACATATTTCCAAGTCCATGGGTATTGTATTGACACATAATATTACTAGAATTGACTTATTTCCTAGTGAAAACTACCAGCACTATGTGGAGTACTCAAGATGGTATTATAACATAAGTTGGTAAGAATATTGTGATGTGTAGTAGTAGTATTATGGCTCACCGTATGGATATTATTACCATTTTGAGCAAGCTTGAATTCTCTCCAGCCGTGAAGTCACTCCTAGTTTTATTTTTATTTTTTTTTTGTGGAAAAATAATTTGGTTGATCTATTAGAATCAATTGCACTTTCTATGAGTTTAAATTTTGCTTAAACTCAGTCTATTATGTAACTTTGACTCTTAAGTTTATAGGACAACTTCTCTGTGTATTAATTTTTCTGTTAACCTAAATTTCTATTCTCTGTTTGATGCTTTGGAACAAGATGATAATTTATAAGGGTGTAGCTAGCTTTTTTTATCACTTCTTGAAATACTGTTCAATATTTTCACTTATTGCACAATGTTTACACTGTGTATAATTTGTACACTATTTCCATGTCTTTTTTTTTTGATAAATTCTTTTCATATGGCATTTTTGACATTTTAAGCCATGGATATATATTGTGAAAATATAGCTACACCCTTATATATATTGTATATTTCCTTTGAGAATTTTAGTGGATATTGGTACCTTGTATTACAGTGCATGCTTATTTGTGTTCTATTAGAGAATCTTCTTTCATGACTGTAGGATTTTGGCAAAAAGTTTTAATGCTGATTGTCAACTTGGCACATTCCTCCTCCTTTATCTAGGCTTGGGTCCAGTGGCGTAACCGTGTAAGACAAGCTCACATTGGTAGAGTTACAATGGGTCTTCACCAAGGCTCAACACTTGGTCCTTGTTTAGTTGCACTAGTCATAGATGAATTGACTAAACATATTTGACAGGAGGTCATGTGATGCATATTGTTTGCTGATGACATGGTATTAATTGATGAAGCTTACGAATTGATTAAAAAAAAATGATGAAGCTTACGAAGGATTAAATACAAAACTAGGTTTATTGAGAAATACATTAGAAACAAGAATTTTAAAATAAGTAGCTCTACTAGAATATGTGCAATTTAAATTTAATAATAATAGGATTGCAAATGAGGGTATAATTGGGATTGGAGACCAAGAGATAATTCAGTGTGGCCTCTTTTGTTACCTTGGTTCAATAATTCATAACAATGGAAAGATTGAAGAGGATGTTACTCATAGAATTAGAGCAGGATTGGTAAGATGGAGGGGTCATAGTTTTCAAGGTGTCTAGGCGATTCTGGGTGACACTGGGGTGCCTAGTTTGTCTAGTTGCCAAGGCGATAAAAATTCTATAATATGAAGAATTAACTTTTGGCTAGTTCTATGGTTTTATATACCATTCAGCATACATATTAATTGAAACAATAACATTCTCTTTATTAAGAACATTAAATTTCCTCTAAAAATGTTTCAAATTACTATCTAGAAGATAAAAATCTTTTAAATATATTAATTTCTTTGTTTTCAAAAATAATACTCCTATAATATTTAATAGATCAATTTCATATCAATTAGCACCCAATGAAGGTTGTTAACTTTATAAGATAAAAATTCAAGATGGGAAGTAAAATAGAAGAAAATAAGGATGAAGTTGCTATTTTATTTAATTGATGAGAGGGAGAGAGAATAGAAAAAAAAGAAACCTCTTTACACTTTTATTCATTCATTCTTTTTTCTCTTTTGAAAGCCCTTTGATTTTTTTTTTTAAATTTCAAAAACAAAACATGATTTTGTGGCCCCCCTACTTCATGCTTGCTTTATGTTATTTATGTTGCTGTTAGTATGTTTCTTTTTGATCAATAACAGAATTCAATTTATTAATGGACAATAAAATTACAATAACCCCGGAAGTGGTAAAAAGGCTTAACTCTCCTGAAAAAGATAAAAGAAAAAAGAAAAGAGGATAACAATACAGCCCAAAACATCTGTTCCCTTCCCACCCCTTGTTTTGCCAATGTATCTGCAAAAGCATTTGCAGTCCTCTTCACCCAATGGTATTGAACCTCCAACCCCCTAGTTAGCCATTTAGCTTCCCTTCTCTCATTTGCGTATTTCCACAGTCTATTGTCCTTTTGTAACCAGCTTAAAACCAACTTTGAGTCTCCTTCAACAATTAGTCTATGAATACTAAGCTCCTTTGTCTTTCGTAAACCTTCCATTAAGGCACATATCTCAACTTTGTTAGTATGTTAGTTGTGTTAGTTATTTCAGTTTCTGTTTGTTTATGTAAGCAGTAGGGGCATTAGTGGAGCTTTTCTATGTTTTAAGTTGTTAATAAATACTGATTAGACAACTTGGTACCATAGCCAACCTAGGGTCTCTAATGTGTGTCTAATCCAGCTGACTGCATGAGAACTTCCTAGTGTTGAAAGTTTAGCAAGATTGATCCATCGAATGATTCTTGGAGATTACTAGAAGAGTGCAGCAGATGCCCAAGGGATTGTAGAGCCTTGGAGAGTGTTCGGTGATCTGGAAGAATCTGAGAAAAAGGAAGTTCAAGATTAGGGTTCAGTTTGAGGAACTTAAAATTTTATCTAATCAGCACATTTTCCTCCATATATTCTTCTTCTACACAAATAAGGGTTCAGCCCCTATATTTTTTGAATTTTATTTTCCTTCTTCCTTTTTGTTTCATGAATATGTTGATTTTCTATACTTTAATATGAAATTTATACTTTTTTTATGAAAATAATGAATAATTATTAAAGAAATGTGGTTATGGTACCTAGGGAACTACCCTATAAAAAATCTGTCGCCTAGGCGATGCCTAGGTGACTAGGCGACAAGGTGCCCTCTAGTCGCCTAGCCTTGGCGTGGCGCCTTGAAAACTATGGAGTATAGGTGATTTGCAAGATATCAAGCAATCACTCGCAACGGTAATGGCACAGTTGGAGAAAAACTCATCGATAGGAAATCTTGAGAATGAGAATGAAGAATCCAACTGAGAAGCTGAAGGAAATAGAAGAGATTCAAGAGCATCCATGAGAATGGCAAAACTCAACTTTCCAAACTATGCAGGTGAAGACCCCATTACCTTGGATTTTCAAATCTGAAAAGTTCTTTGAATACCACAACACACCGAGCTATCACAGTTCATAGAGTCTCCATAGCCTCCTTCCATCTTGAAGGAGAGGCAATACTGTGGTTCCTTAGGTCTCATCCTCAAGTTTCTTGGGCTGACTTTATGCAAGCTCTGTGCATAAGGTTCGGGCTAGTCAAATTTGATAGCTATGATGAAACCCTATCAAAGCTGAAGCAAACTGGATTTGTAAGAGACTATCTGGTTGAGTTTGAGAAGCTTTCGACGAGGGTACATTGGCCAGAGACTGCTCTATTGGGTTGTTTCATCGGCAACTTAAAAGAAGAAATTGAAGTGGAGGTGAAGGACCTCCAAACTCTGTCGTTGCTTGCAGCTTTCAGCCTATTCAGGAAGAGAGGCTAAATCGCCTCAAGAAACTCAACCAAAACCCCCTCTTATGGCCTTCCTAGGTTCAAATTGGACGCCACGGTTCACCTCAGCTAACATAGATGAACTAGTCAACAATCGGTCTCTACCCACTGGAAAGAATAGACTGGCCCAACATAATGAAGGCCCACAGTCCAAATCTATTGCGGTAGTGCCTGCATCAGTTCTTCTCAAGAAACTCTCATGGGCCAAAATGCAAGCCCGTAGAGACTAGGGTCTCTGCTACAACTGTGAAGAAAAATTTGGGCCGGGTCACAGATGCAAAGCCCAATAGTTATTCATGCTCCAGATTGAAGAGATAAAAGAGGCTCAAACTAAAGTCAGAATTGTAGAACAATGTGAACCCGACCAACCGGAAATATCATTGCATGCCCTCACTAGGATAAAGTCCCCAACCATGAGGGTTTTTGGGTCTATAAAAGGGCGGAGAGTTTTTGTCTTAATTGGTAGTGGTAGCACCTTGAAGCCAAGGTGTTATCTAAACTCGACCTTAGATCGGGTTATCATCAAATATGGATGCACCTGGAGGATGTGCCCAAGACAGTGTTTTGCACACATGACAGCCATTATGAATTCCTCGTTATGCTATTTGGGCTCACCAATGCCCCATCAACATTCCAGGCCATCATGAACGAGGTATTCCGACCATACCTGCATTGCTTCATATTAGTCTTCTTTGACAATATTCTTGTGTTTAGCGCTGATTGGGTATCTCATTTAAAACACTTGTCTATTACCTTGGAACTATTGAGGCAACACAAATTGTTTGCAAAGGTTGCCGAATGTGTTTTTGGATAATCACAAGTCCAATATTTGGGCCATGTGGTGAAGGCAGGACAGGTCATGGCTGATCTAGGCAAGGTTAAAAGTATCCAAAATTGGCCCCTGCCAAAGTCTGTTAAAGCAATGCAGGCCTTCTTGGGCCTTACAGGCTACTACTAGAGATTCATCCCTTATTACGGGTGGATAGCTGCACCACTCACATAGCTGCTGCGTATGGATGCATTTCAATGGTCAGATGAGGCACAATTGGCATTTCAAAGATTGCAAAAAGCAATATAGGTGCTGTACTGATGTGAGAAGGCCAGCCCATTGCTTACTTCAACAAGTCTCTATCACAACAAGCACAATCGTGTAGCAGATGCCTTGTCATGCATGCCCGAAATGGCCCAGCTCATAGTGTCTCAATCCAGCTATCCCTTGCTGTTACAACTCAAGCAAGAAGCATAGCATGACCCTACATTAGTCATTTCTGCTAATTCCGCACGTATACCAGAAGTATTAACACTATTCCACAACCTGTCATGGGAGGCCGCCACTCAGGATTTTTTAAAACAGACAGGAGAATTGTGGCTCATTATTTCTGGACAGGCATGAAAAGGACCATAGAGACTTAGCTACTTCATGTCCTTTGTTCCACCAACAGAAATATGTGGCACAATCCCCAGCTGGCTTGTTACACCTTTGCACATCCCTAATGAGGTCTGGGGTGAAGTTTCAATAGACTTCATTACAGGACTACCACCATCTAAAGGCAAGTTAATTCTCTTAGTGGTTGTCGACCGCCTCTCAAAATACAGCCATTTCATCCCTCTAGTCTACCCATACACAACAAGAAGGGTGGCTGAAGCATTTGTTTGAGAAATTACAAGATTACATGGCACACCCAGGGACATTTTATCTGACAGGGACCTAGCCTTCCTCAGCAGCTTTTGGAAGGAATACTTCAAGCTGCAAGGAAGCAAACACAACACATCAATCAGTTACCATCCACAAACTGATGGCCAAACTGAAGTTGTCAACTGATTCATTGAAACTTACTTGCATTGCCTTGCAAGTGAAAGGCCACGCCAATGGACTCAATGGCTACCGTGGGCTGAATTCTGGTACAACTCCTCTCTTCATGTATCAGCCGGTGCCACACCATTCAAGGTCCTCTATGGTAGAGAACCTCCAGCTATCCTGCCATATGACAAAGGGTCCTCAGCCAATGCAGCAGTAGATGAGTGCCTCACTCAATGGGATGAAGTCCTAAGGGACCTCAAGGTCCACTTGAAACATGCTCAAGAATAGATGAAGAAACACTATGACAGAAAACATAGGCCCTTGGAGTTTCAGGTTGGTGATCTGGTTTACCCCAGATTACAAGGCAGTCCTCGGTAGCTACAAGGTCTTACAATAAGTTGGGTCCCAAAATATTATGGACCTTTTAAAGTGGTGCAGCGCATTGGTCCTTTGGTGTATTAACTAGAACTACCATAATCCACTTTCCACTCGCCCTCTGTTCTCTCACCATCTTCAATTTAGGAGGTAGCTTCTCCCTCGAAGAGAAGCCTATGTTGGGGCAGGACCTCAACAACGACAGAACTAAGCATATTGAAGTGGATCGACACTTTATCAGAGAGAGAGCTTCTCAAGAAGTGTATCTTCCATATATTGCCTCCGATGTAGCTTGCAAATTTACGAGAGTTGCTTTTTAGTTACAAAGACTAAGTTGGAAACAAATTTACGCAAGTTGGGAATGATTAATATCTACTCTCAACTGGAGGGGAAGTGTACAGATGTAGAGCAATACTATGATTATTTGTGGTCCCCATTGGGCATGCTTGCTTTATGTTATTTTTGTTGATGTTAGTATGTTAGTTGTGTTAGTTATTCAGTTATTTTAGTTTCTGTTTGTTTATGTAAGCAGTAGGGGCATTAGTGGAACTTTGCTATGTAATTTGTTAATATAAATAGCTGAGTGGGGCGCCACTCTATCATTGACCCGCACTCTTTTCTAATTCTTCTCTCTTTTGTTTTCTCTCTTCTTCTCATTCTCTTCTTCTTCTTCTTGCAGACCTAAAGTAAGACTGATTACAGTCTTTGTTAGACAACTCACATATTAATAAGATTGGTAGGTTGGAAGGGGAGGTATCTTTCACTTGGTGGAAGGATAACTCTTATAAAGAGTGTGTTGTCTAATCTTCCAGTATATTACCTTTCACTATGGCTTCTGTAATAAACTCAATTGAAAAAAAATGCAAAAGGAGTTCTTATGAGGAGTCAAAGGAATTGAAAAGAAATTTCACTTAGTAAAGTGGGATAGGGTCTGCAAGGAAAAGAAAGATGGAGCCATGGAGGTCTGGGAATAAGAATATTGAAGCATTTCAATAAAGGTTTTCTGGGAAAGTGGTTGTGGAGATTTGGTTTGGAGAGGAAGGTTCTTTCGAGGAGGGTGGTGTCTTGTAAATATGGGGGTGATTGGTCATGGGTGGGATTTTGGAGGAGTGAAGACCTCACATGGAGCAAGTGTTTGGAAGGGAGTGTTTCTAGTCGGATTTTCTCATCTTAGTGTCTTTTAAGGTTGGAGATGGTTCAACAATCAAATTTTAGGAAGGTGACTGGTTAGGTATTGGAAAACTGTGTGATCTTTGTCCTCAGCTATATAGGTTGGGTATGAAAAATAGCTCTGTTGTGGAAAATTTTGAGATAAATCAAGGTAGAGCTGTGTGGTACCTAAAATTCAGGAGATCTCTATTTGACTGAGAAATTCAAAAGTGTGTGGATCTACTTGCAAAACTTCAATCAACTGAAACATAGGTGATGCACATTGGGAGTGCTGAAGCATGGATGGAGATGCTTTGAAAAGTGAAGTGACTTGAAGAATCTTCAACAGAAAACCATATTATTGGCTAAAACTAAAAGATGGTCATTTGGGGCTTTCTAGGGTTTTCACAAAAGTAGCTTATGGGCTGTCCAGGTGGGACACACATTGTAAAGCCAGAAGCCGCTACGTCAAGGCCCTCTCAAATGGGCACTACATTTAGAAAATCTAAAATTACAGAATTGCCCATACAGCTGTTCAAAATATTGGAATACATCAAAGTGTTTACAACCATAAAAGTCTTTTATGATCTTTTTCAGTTTTTCTTTCCCTCCTTTAATGGTACCTATGTTGCAAGCTGAAAACTTTGCTATTTTGGTATCAACTAGTTCTATGTAGATAACCTATTCCATAAATAGAAAGTTCATCTTCAAATTTCCTCTTTTTTTTCCTTGATTTGTATTTTATACATATGTTAGTCCAATTTTATTAATTTTGAGAAGAAAGTAAAACATGCATCCAGAAATGAAGGGAATTGTTGATTAATGCTAACATAAATGTTTGATATATTTTATTTGAACCCAATACTTATTTTAATATCTCTATTCATTTCTCAATAACTATAATCTTTGAAACCAATCTGCTAGTCCAAATTTGCCATCTTTATTTGCTTTTATTTGAATTGTGTATTCTATATATTATTAATCAACCGTGCAGGTTGTACCAGTTTTATGATAAATTACATATTAAGTTCCAGTTTCCTATGAATTATGATAATTGATCTGCTAATGTTCTTCTTAACTTGAAGATCCTAAGAAGTTCTTGAGTTATTATTGTTTTGTTTGGTTTCAGGTTTATTGGAAGGTTTGGTACCCATGTTATTGTTGGTGTAAAGATGGGGGGAAAAGATGTAATATATTTGAAACAACAGCATTCATCGAATCTTCAACCTGCTGAAGTACAAAAAAGGTTAAAAGAGATGGCAGATAAAAGATTTCTAGACATGAATGGGCAGTATGAGATGAACCCTGAAGAAGCTTATGAGAAGGAGAAGGTTTGTGCTATCTCCATTTCTGGCGTCCTTTAATTCTACATCTTTCTGAAATTAAAAAGAATATAGTAGTTATTGTGCTTCTAGCTAGATGAATTTAAGCAATTATTAAGTCACTGAAGTGTTATAGTTAATTCAAGGACAAAATTGTCACTGGCAAAATAAGTTGAAGTTTCAGGTATCATACTTGTCAGAAAGGAAAGCCCACAGATAGAACATTGCTCTCTCAGATCTCTTCTAGATGTTACAATATCATATACTACATGACTTCTTGGTAAAGATTACTATTTTTTGATCATTAACAGATTATATTCATTAAATAACTGAAAATTTGGTTATTGTATGTTATAATATATAATAGTATATATATTGTATGTTATAATATATATATATATATACACACACACACATTGTATATTGTATGTTATAATATATAATATAGTGTATATTATGTAACCAAATAACCGAAAACCGAACAAAAAATTTCGGTTTTGGTTATTTCAGTTTTTCTATAATTCGGTTTTGGTTTTGGTTTAGTTTTTGTTTTTTTTTTTATGTTTTTTAATTTGATTTATTCAGTTTGGTTTTTAACTGAATAAACCGTTTCACCCCTAATTTAAAATGGTATAATATAGTCTTTGATCTGTTGTACTCATTCTAGTTGCTTTGAGAATTTGTGATTGTGCATGATTGGTTCCTGGTATATAGATAAGACATGATGTAGGATGGGGTAGGGGTCCTACTAATTTAAGATCTGGTAGTGGGCTTTGTAGCAGTGAAAGAAGAGCTTAGGGTGATCAAGGATGAAGAATTAGGATTGCAAAACAAGTAGACAGCTTGCTGTCCCGCAAAGAATAATGAAAACGGAAGTTTCCTTGGCAATCCCAGTGCTTTGAGGGCTTCCAAAAGTTGGGGCAGAAACACTTCTATTAGATGAACAAAATGGTCGATGCATAATAGTCCAGCAGTTCAAAATTTTCCAGCAAATACAGGCTTATCCCAAAGATAAGGGGATTTGACAATGGAGGCAATTCGACGTGACGGAACTTTCCATACAGCAAGAAGATGGAGGTTTGAAATTGCTGTCGAAGCAAAAGAAATATTGTTTGAACTTGGAAGAACAGGAGGTAAGGCTGCTTTGAAAATCAGAGAAGACAGCAGAGCGACAATCTTCTTGCCTGCGGAAGCTATGCTCTGGTTGAAGGGTTTTGTTTTTGTGTACTCAACTCCCCTAGATGAGTGGGCTAGAAAAATTGGAAACGACTTGAAGCTGAGCTGAGAAGGAATGGGAAAGCCTGGTTTATCACTGTTACAGAAAACTTTGGTAACAATAGGAAATAGATGATTTGCGTGCTGGAAGGAGAGGAAAAACAAGGGTGGAAAGTGTTCTCGAACAAGCTTCAACACTTCCTTCTTTTTGTTGACAAGATTACAAGGACGAAAGAAGCTTCCTCCAATGAAGATCTTGTTGTGCAGAATCTTCTTAGCCAGAGGGAAGAAGTTAAATCCATCACACAAGGGGAAGTGGAAAACAAAGCTCCTTTGTTCATGAAGTAGTGGTTGTGAGTTCCACAGGACTGCAACGCCGGGGAGAGGTAAATGGTAACGAAGATTGGTAGTAACAACCAAGGATAAAGTAAAAGACTAGGGGAAAATTTTGGATGTGGTGGCACAAGAGTTGGAACCTGAAAATGAGGCAGCTTTATTACTGTTTATAGACAGGAAGGGCAATCTTCGACATTGGTGGTGGAAAAAAGAGTTCTACTATGCTTGATTCAGAAGAGGGCTTGATCCAGGTTCAGGAATGGACTCTGCTGTGCAATGAGGTGGAAGGCATTATGAAAAGCTTCTTGCTTATGATGTTAGGTCTTCCGTTCCACTTATGGAGTAAGATGATCATCAAAAACATAGTGAGTTCTGTGAGAGGAGTCTTGGAAGAAGTTAAACTTCAAGATCTCCATGCCATAGAGATTAGCTTGGCAAGAGTGAAATCAAAGCTTTTGCCTCGATCTGTTGAAGTTCTCTCCAATGGTGTGTGGAATCGTGTCTGGCTGATTCCGGAAGTGGAAGCCTTGCTCTGGGGAGGAAGAACCAAGGTTGAAGACGACTCTGATGTGTTGAGTTTGTGTCCACATGGCACATGAGTGTTGGTAAGAAAGAAAGGGAATCAAAGGGAAGACGAAACAGGAAACTAGAAAGTTGCTTGAGGTTAACCAAAAGACAAGTAATTCATCAAAAGAAAGTTATTTAAATTGTTTTGACTTAAAAGGAAAGGTGGCAAGACATTTATATTTTGCAGACATGGCTAGGAGAGAGTGTGGCCCAACCTTTAAAGCCTTTCAAGCCGCTATCTCTGACCCATCTGGAGGTAGGGCGGTTTAGCAAGTGGGCTGGGCTTGAAGGTTGTCTACCCACATGACACCTTAAGTAATCATGTGGATCGGGTTAAGGGGCAGCTGCTTATAGATGATACCAATTGTCTATCTTCTTCTACTTTGAAGGGTCCAGTCTTTGGAGGTGCCGCAACATTGAAGGTTGGCAGACCAAGTTCCTGGAGGCCTCTTGCAGTGGTCTCCTTGACTAGATTCAGACATCGTTAGTGCTGTTCACTCCTCTTTGGAATGTCCAAATCCAAGATACTTGAGAACTTGGTTTGAGGAGAGGGAGGAAGTGGACGAAGGATGGGTGGCATGTAGTGTGGAGGAGGATGTTGAAGAGGATGACTCAGATGACTTGACCAGCCTAGCAAGTGTAGGGGACGAAGTCTTGCCTAACGAAGAGATTATAGGAACCCTAAATCTGGAGCTGCTATTTCAGGAAGATTTGGGAGAAGGAAAACTAAATGGCCCAGTGGTCCAGAGCAACAGAGAAGTGGAACTTCTAGACAAGGTGTGTGTAAAGAAGTAACCAAGGCTTATCAGAGGCTAGGCAGGACCGCTTCATTGAGAGATAAACAGAAGGTCGAAGGAATCCTTGTGTTGCACAAGTGGCGGGTTCACATTCTCATGGAAGCCAAGTGAAGGAGATAGTTGATTTTGAACCTCCTAAAAAAGGATGAACAACCAATTGCATCAGTCCTAATTCTCTCCCTCTTCAGCTTAACCCCGATAACTCTGTTCATTCATTTTGTGGTACTAATGAATGCTCTGTGTCTGTAGTGCTAGATTCGCTTCCCAGCCCAAAGAACACAACCTGTGTTAGAAAAGAAGGAGAAATAGGGGACATTGGAGAAAGGGAGGATAAAAAAAGAAGAAAGGCATCAGAGGAGGAAGCAAAAAGGAATAAAAGAATTTGGGAAATTCTTGAGAACCTATTGAATGGATTTAAGCATGGAATGGAAGCCACCAGCACTGAACAAACTAAAACTGAACTTTGATGGGAGTTCTCTTGGCAATCCAGGAAGGGCAGGCTTTGGGGGTGTGTTTAGAAATCATTTGGGTGTGGTGGTGGTACTTTACTCAGGACCAGTAGGTTTTGGTGACTCAATACAGGCTGAATCTCTAGCCCTACTTCAAGGTCTAAAGATGGCTGAGCAGCAGATAGGAACAACAGACTTAGAAATAGGAGACTCACTATTGGTCATCTCTTGGGCCTAAAACATCACACCAGTACCTTGGAAGCTCAAATTTATCTTCAGAGAAATTGACACACTTGCAAAGAAATTCAACTCTCAGTTTGGTTGGGTCAAACGGGATGCAAATGGGATGGCGGATACCCTAGCAAAACAAGGGGCAAATAGATCTTCATTGTACTGGGCAGAATTGTAGCTAATTGCTGGAGTTTGCAGTGTATTCCTCTGCAATCTTTATCTATTGTAACTTAATTTCTCTGTTATTAATGAAAGTTTTTTGCTGATAAAAAAAAGGAAACAATAGAAGGGCCAAGTGCAGAAAATATCGAGAAGAGAGAAGAAAGGAATGTGGAGGGAGGCAAAAGGGGAATATCAGCAAGGTGAACAAAGGGGAAATGAATAATGAGGACTTTGTGGCAAAACTTGGGTGGAAACTAAAGGACCCAAATGACCTTAAGGTTTTCTTAAAAAAGAAGAGAGATGAATTCAAGGCAAGGAAAAAGAAGTTGAGAGATTAAAGAGGGATGTTGAAAGAGACAAGAAATTTGGTATATAAGGGGAAAGGAGGAAAGAGATTAAAGAGGGATGTTTGCTTTTATTTTTAAATTTTCATTTGAATACGCTTTCCATGTTATGTTTATGTACTTTAATTTTAGATAGTAGGTTTTTTAAAACATTTGTTTTAAGTTTATATTTTTTATTAATATTATGATTAATACTTTTTGAAGTCTTATGCATTTTTAAAATTTTTTTGGCATTTTTTTGATTTTTTTGTATTTTTGCACCTTGCTTAAAAAAGGTGTGCACCTCTCGCGCCTCAGGAGCAAATTGGCCCTTGTACTTTTTTTGTGCCTTGCGCTTTTGAAACACTAGGGCTGCTACTTTCTGGTTTGAAAACATGTGGTTATACACCATCCAAGTTTCATTTAGAAAGTTAGAGAGTGGTGGACGAAGCGTAATCCAACAATGGTGTGGGAAGGGATGCGATTTCATAAGAAACTTCAATATTTGAAGGATAGAATTAAGGAGTGGAACATATTGGAGTTTGGTAGGCTAGAAGAAACAAACAAAATTTGATTGAACAGCTTGAGGAATTGTATTTCAAGGAAGGGAAGGGGCCTATAGAAGAAGAGGCTGAGGAGCAAAGGAGAATGGGAAATCAATAGGAGGATGTTTTTCTCAAGGAGGAGATTAGATGGAGGCAAAAATCTAGATGCAAATGGGTGAAGGAGGGATATAGGAACACTAAATTCTTTCATGCTTTGATACATGGTCGGAGGAAGAATTTCTTCTTGAGATTAGAAGTTGATGGCTCAATCACTTACCATTAGAGTGAGATTGCCAACACCTTTGTGAATCACTTCAAATCTATATCTTGAAGATCCTTAAATGATAGACTATGGCTAGAGGGGATGGAGTGGCCGAGAGAGGAGGCTAGAGAGGAGTTAAAGAGAAATTTCAAGCTAGAAGAGGTAAAGGAAGCAGCGTTTTCTATGGATACATCAAAAGCACCAGGCCCAGATGGTTTCACCATGGCTTTCTAACAGGATTGTGAATAGTTACCCATTTGAGGCTAAATTCTACCTTCATTGCTTTGGTTCCCATGAAGAGAAAAGCTACCCATCCGAGGGACTATAGACCAATTAGCTTGGCAAATACTTTATACAAGATTATTGCAAAGGTGTTGCTGCTTAGGATTAGAGAAGTGCTCCCCAACCTTATCACTCATAACCAAGGAACTTTCGTGAGGGTAAGGTAAATAGCAGATCAGATCCTAATAGCAAATGAGAGTGTGGAGGATCTTTAGAAATCAGGGAAAAAGGGAGTGGTGTGCAAATTTGATCTAGAAGAAGGCTTAAGATATGATAGATTGGTCATTCTCGCTGGAGGTGATGAGTAGCTCTGGTTTTGGAGATGGATTGTGCAATTGGGTGTTGGTGTGTGTTAGGACTTGCCATTACTTTACATTGTTAAATGGGACAGTGGTGGATTTCTTGTTGACATTGAGGGGAATAAGACAAGGTGATCACCTATCTCCATTCTTGTTTACCTTGGTGCAGAAGTTTTGGGGAATTTGATATCTAGAGCACATTCTAGAAGCTTTGTAAGGGGTTACTTGTAGTTTGTAGATGACATGATACTTTCCTTTGAAGGAGGGGATTTTTGAAGTTGCAGACAAATGTCAAACATAAAAGTGAATTTTGAGAGTTGTATAGTGGGAGTCAATATGGAGGAAGGGGAAATTTTTGAAGTTGCGGACATTTTAGAATTCTCAGTGTCTAATTGGCCTCTAAATTACTTAGGTTTGTTGTTGGGAGACAATCTAGGAAGAGGTAGTTTTTGGACTCCAGTTGTGGAGAGATTTGAAAAGAAACTTGGCTCTTGGAAGAAAATTTGCTTATCTCTTGGAGGAAGAATAACCCTGATTAGGTCTACTTTAGCTAACCTGCCTATTTATTTTTGTCGGTTTTCAAGATCCCAATAAAGGTGGCTCGCATATTGGAAAAACTAAAGAGAAACTTTCTTTGGGATCCAGGGGAGGAATAGGGGCACTGAGCATTCTCCATTTCTCCATTTTGTTTTCTAGGACTTTACGATGTGGAAGATGATTGGTGGAGGTTGTGAAGTTGGAGGACTATACTACCTAGATGACAATGGTCCACGAAGAGGTCTTCACTCGTCTCTCACTCCTCATCAATGACATTGTTGTTTGGGTCATCCCTCCATTCATGTTTGGAAAAATTGGTCCCTAGTTTAGAGTCAATCTCTCAATTAGAATGTGAGTCATGTGAGCTTAGTAAACATCACGGAGTTCATTTTGTTCCTAGAGAAGATAAAAGAGTTATGAGTCTTTAGTTCCTCATTTTGACTAACCTCCTTTTTAGCTTGATGTTATGATTGCCTTCCCCAATGATGATCTACAGAAGGTGTACATGGAGCAACCTCTTGGTATGTTGTTTAGGAGGAGGTAAGAAAGGTGTGTAAATTGTGGAAGGCTATCTATGGGATGTAGTAATCTTTATGAGCTTGGTTTGGCTGATTTAGTGGTGTGGTGCGGGAAGTTGGCCTAAAGGAGTGTAGTGCTGACCATTTTGTGTTTAGTTGGAACACCTTGTCTTGGAAGATTGTCTTGGCTGTGCATGTTGATGATATAGTTCTCATAGGTAGGGATGCACAAGGATTATTGAACTGAAGCATTTCTTGTTGCAACATTTTCAAATCAAGGATCTAGGTTCCTTAAGTATTTCTTGGGAATTTAAGGCCTTGTTGGTGGTACTTTATGCTTTATACTTTCAATAGCACTAAATACAAAGTATGTGGTATACTTTTGGTTTTGTATTTTCACTTCAAAAACATGTTTTTTCAAAGTAAAAGTAAATGATGGTGTTTGGATACAACAAAATGTTTTAAATGTATGCATGTCATGTTTCATCATATATGGATGCCATGTGGCGATTGAATGTAAGTCAATAATATGTGGATGCCATATACATGGTGGTATGTATGGATGTCACGTGGCATTTGAAAGGAAATCAATGACATTACATGCTCGTGGCAGCATAGATTAATGCTTTTCAGTAACTATGTTCAGATGACATGTGGCATCCATATATGCCACTTGGAAGCATATGCAAATGCCATGTGGCATTTGAAAGGTGGATCAATGACATGTGGATGCCATGTGACAACATAGATGAGTGCCATGTGGCACCTAAAGGTAAGTCGGCGATACTGTATGCCATGTTACGTGCCAAGTGTCACTGAATACATTAATGTATCTATATGTCCATGTGGCATTCAAATATGCTATCACATGGTGGGGTGTATAGTATCACGGGTGTGGTTGATGCACATGTTTTAGAAAGTATAAAGTATGTCAGAGGGCCAAAAAGCATGAAGTATCAAAATCTGACATCATGCTTTTCGTGTTTTTTGTACTTTTATTTCATGTTTTTTAAAAGTAAAAAACACCCCAAACAAATGCTTTCTGGTACTTTTCATACTTTCATACTTTTGAAAATATGAAAAGCACTTTCAAAAGTACCACTAAAGTCTAAACATGGCCTAAGTTCCCCGTTCTAAGTCGGGAAGTTCTTTGTCACAGAGGAAGTGTGTTTTGGATCTGTCAGATGAAAGTAGGCTATTAAGTGCTAAGCCAATTCAGACACCTATGGATCACAATGTAAAGAGGACCAATGGTTAGGGGAGCTATTGAATAATCCTTGGAGGCTAGTTGGAAAGCTAATCTGCCTTGCTACCACCCATCAAGATATCTCCTTCAGTTAGGTGTGTTGAGCTAGTTTATGCAGAATCCTACAACTACTCATTGGGAAGGAGTTGGTAGAGTGTTGAGGTACTTGAAGGATGCTCCAGGCCATGGTTTATTATATAAGAAAGGGGAAGAATTTTCCCTTGAAGGATGCTCCAGGCCATGCTTAAGCTGAGTACAGGGCCATGACACACACCACTTGTGAATTGATTTGGTTAAAGCATCTCCTCCAATAGATGGACATTTCTATTAGCAAGCCAATTAAGCTCTTCTGTGATGAATATACTGCTACACACATTGTAAGGTAAAAGTTGACAAGTGGGATGTTGTCACACTATATGTGAGATCAGTAGATCAGCTAGCTGATCTGTTCATGAAAAGTTTAAGCTGTGCCAGAATGGGTTACATATGTAACAAGCTGGAGCTTTATGATATATATGCTCCAGCTTGAGGGGGAGTGTTAAAATCTAGTTGTAAGGGCACTAGTGTCCTTTTCCCTTTGTTTCTTAGCCTTATGTAACGATTGAAGGCTATTTTTGTAATTTTGTTTTTATTAGAAACTTAATAAACAAAAGGTCAATAGGAGGGAGAGAATAGTTAGAATCTCTCTCTCTATATTAGACCTCGTTTCTTCTCTCTTCTTCTCCTTTTTCTCTCTTGTTGGACTGTGTCTCAACTGAATTTCCTTCTCATCTCTATTCTTTTTTATTTCACCCTTTTTCCTCACTTCTTTTGGTTTTTTATCACAACTACAACTAAAGTCACCAAACTATTTTCTCTGTATACAGGCCAAGAATTTAGGACCCTCTTATGAACTTCTTTGGACTTGCATTAAAGGGTCTTGGTAAATAAGTCTACTGGTGGATAGACGACATCATAGAAATAGGAATACAAGATGTTTAACATCACATTAGGTACATGAAGCAATGCAAATGGGAGAGAAATAAACTGATTGAAAGTTTAAATGCTTGAATTATCGAGTGCTTGAATATGTTTTATGTGTTATGGTTGATTTTATTTCTACATTTTTTACCTTGAATATGTTATATATGTTGTCTTTATGTATTTTAGTTTGAGCCAATAGGCTCTTCAAAACATCTAGTTTCTTTTAAAATTAAGTTTGCTGTTTTTGAATTAAAATTATATTTTGAAAATTTTTAAAAATTTGTCTTTGCTTGAAAAAGGTGCAGGCTTTACCTTTACGCCTTGGATGAAAAATCCTCTTGTGCTTTTTTTTTGTGCCTTGTGCTTTAAAAGGCACTAGTTTTGATATGTTGTTGCATGGGAAATTATGATTTGAATTGCAGCTAACTTGGCAACCCGAGAAAAGGTTTCTACATAGTTTATGCCATGTTTTTGTAAATCACTTGGAGAGTAGATGAGCAACTGGTCCACTGAACCATCCTTGGTATATTTAGTGGTGTAAACTCAGATACGTCCGGTACATGAGTTCCAGTTACTATTCACATGCAAGGTTGATGTTCTTTCATTGTTGTCCACTTGTCCTCTAGTCCAGCTCAAACATAGCACCCTGGAACGACTTGGAGATAAAGTTGCTAATTCTAGGAAAAAAGAGATTTATATGAAGCAAATTGGTAAATAGGATTCCAGTATAGAGCCTTTTACCTTTACAACGGGAAATAGGGATATCCAAATGTTTGCAAAGTTGTGCCATATGGGCTGATATAATTGATATGTTACACCATGGACTGAAATTAATAAATTTTTGACCTGCATCCTATACTTTTAATATTATATAGATTGTTTCTGTTGGTAGGGGGTCATTTTCTGACACAAATTGGCCAACATATTCAACAATATCAATTTTTGATACCATGCACCAATAAACTAGAAATGATCTTTTTCATGCCTAAATTGATCCAAACAAAATCCAAAATATTATGAAATACTACTGGATGATGAATCAAGAGAAACCTAAGCATTATGAACTTTGGTCATCTTACCATCATCATTATGAACTTTGGTTATCATATTATTTTTAAGAAAGCATTATATGAGGGCTCCTTACCCAACTGTTTAACTTATGATGACATTTTTTTTAGTTTGAGATTAGGGAGCAGCGGCTAAGGTTTGCAGAGACCAACATCTCAAGTTCTTGCTCGCATAAGGAGGTATCAAGTTGATTCACACAAGGATTTACTTTTGGGTGACATTTGCCGTGTATTCTAGTTGAAGACATATAATGAAAGCCATTGAGGCCCATTGACCTTAATTATAGTTTTATTTACATATTATTTAACTGCAGGATATTACTACAGTACTAATCCTCACCTATCATTTTTTTTTTTAATTTAATTGCAGGATATTACATTCATTTACAAGAGGAGAGGGGGAACTGATGATATAGCCCTATCTCATAATTTGTGGTTAAACACAGTCCAGCAACATCCTGATGTGATTTCAATGTCTTTTATCCCCATCACATCCCTTTTGAATGGAGTCCCTGGGAGTGGATTCTTGAGCCATGCCGTCAATCTTTATTTACGATGTAAGCATGATCTGCTCTCTTCATAAGTCGTCATCATCATCATCATCTAAGCTTTGTCCCAACTATAACGGGTCAAGGTTTTTTCACAAAGATGTTTTTTATCTTGCATTTTCTGAATGGGTTTCTATCAGACATGGGAAGCTTGTTGATCACTTAACTGCAATACTGCATCAAATGGATCTTCCAGCAGATTATCATTCATCACCATATCACCTTAAATTCCTAAGCCAAGCCAGAATTTTTTAAGCCCTAAATTTAAATCAGCTGAAAGGAAAACTAGATGCTGACTGCAAACAGATAGGATCAAATTGGACATATTTAGATCCAAATTTGGATCGTTAGTTTGTCAGATATTAATCATTTTCTTATCAGACTTGGATTTGATTCAGATATTGAACATCATTATGAATTGAACTAAAAATGATTAGAACATTTTGTATTATTAATAAAAATGAAATAAAAATGACTTTGATATTGTATATCATGCGAAAAAATGTTGCCTTTGTTACTAAGTAACAATTGATAGAAAAATGTTGTTCATCTTGTACATTAGCTGTTCATTTAAATCAAATAAGATCGGAAATAATAAAGAAATGTTGCATATATGCCCTCAAATGTACTTGGAGTGTTGGACTCCAACGTGTTGATTTAGGTTATTTGACTAGCAATAGGGTTTGGGTTTCTTGTTTCTCTATAAGTAGTTGTTTTCTCTTTTAGGAGCTTGTGAAGAAGGTTATTTGACTACCAATCAAAAAAGGTTAGTGGAGACTTGTTTTCAATGAAATTTGTTTTTCTGAAACTTTTGGATCTTATGGCTTGAGGAGGGATCATTTTTCTTCGTTGACACATTATTGATGTCTGTCTTCCTGTATGCCTATCTTCTGTCGTTATCTCTTCTTCTCTCCATTTTTCTTCTTTCTTTAGTTCCTTCCCTTTTCCTGTGGAACTTCAAGCTGCTGCTTAAGTCCCTTTCATCAGAGTGTGTCAATTCAGAAAAGGCAGTACTTGTGCATACAACTTAAGTGATAAGTTGTGATTCAATCTCTTATAAATCAGAGCCTAAGTTCAGGTAGAAGTAGCCTTATCAGAGGTGTAACCAAATGAACTAATAGGGGCATAATCACTTCAATTTTTAGTTTCAGGTGTAAGTGTGAATTTTTTCATATTCAAATGTGACCTCAGTGAAAGATTTGCCATGCATTTTACTAGTTATTGGAAAAACAAATGTGTAAAAATCAGCGATCTGCTGTTGTCACTTGTTGATATGAAGTTTGTTAACCCTGGCTTCTGGTTGCAGATAAACCCCACATTGAAGAGCTTCATCAGTTTTTGGAATTTCAACTACCGAGGCCATGGGCACCGGTATTCAGTGATCTTCCTCTTGGTCCACAACGTAGGCAGCAGTGCACTGCAACTCTGCAGTTCAGTTTTATGGGTCCCAAGCTTTATGTTAATACCAGTGCGGTAAATCTTATTTTTTCTGTTTTTTCTATTAATCCTTTATTAATGTTGTAGTGTATATGATCTACATTTTAGTTGGACTTTGTCTAGTAGGAGTTGAAAATTTGAGTAGTGTAGCTTTCTTCATCATATTTAACTTCAATTCTGTAACAGCGATGTAGGACAGGATACAAGTTCTACAAATTGTAGATCCGGTGGTGGGCTGTATGTGGTGAAGGAGCAAGAAAGTAGAAAGAAAAGGAGGAACTCTTGCTGTTTTATAAATAGCAAAGACTAAAGAGATAATTACTTACAAGAAGAAATAGGTGAGAGAGAGAGAGAGAGAGAGGGAAAAAAGCGAAAAATTCTTGGCAACAACCAGAATTGACTAAATTGAACATCTTTTGATCAAGTCAATCTTCCTTTTGTATTGCAACGTTGATGACTATTTATAGACAATCCATGAGAACTTAGATATCCTTTTATAGATTCCAATTTGCATAGAGATAGTGAAAGTGAGGGTTGAATAGTAATTTTACTTTCTTATAGTATCAGTAATTTTCTATTCTTTATTTTTGTACATAACTTATATAAGGACAATAGTTCTTTCTTGGTGTGGTTGCCTTAATGAGACACACCCCAAATCTGCTGTGTGCTCTCTTGTATGAACTGCACTGACATGGTATCAGAGCAGGTTTAGTGTGGGAATTAGTTTGGTGAACAAAGACTAACAATCGAGTCACTGTTCACGAATACTATTCACGTTACTGTTCACGCGAGGTTCATTCTATTTGGCTTTGATCTTAGACTTAAATCATTTTTATTCAGCATCGAGTTGGGTATACTTCACAACTATTTCGGACTATTATATTCTCTCTTCCTGGATTGTTTTGTTCCAGACAAAAAAGCTAGATTTTCTGGACTGGAACGCCCATCAGGTCAGCTTTTTCAAAGTTTTCTCTCAAACTACTGCTCCGTTTACTTTGAGATTTTAGATTTGGTGTCGCCCTAGACTGTTCTTACAACCCTAGAAATTTAGTGAGATTCGGAGTTGATTTTCTAGGGTTTTGATCACTTCCTTTATTCGGTCCATCTGAGAACCTTCTTTTTTTAGACTACGAACTCTTCATATTTTGTTTCAGCTTGTTAGAACCCTTTTCCTCTTTGTTTCTCTCACTATGGCATCTAAAAGAAGTGATGTTCTTTCTGTTAAGTTTGACGGAACCAACTATGCTTTGTGGTAGTTCCATTTTTAGTTTTATGTTGAAGGCAAAGGGTTGTGGGGTTATATTGATGGATCAACTACTATGCTTGAAGTGATTGATGCAAAGGGGCAGCAAACTTGGAAGATTAATAATGCCCAGATAGCATCCTATGAGGTGTCTTCGGACAACCAAGGAGATGTATGATTATTTGGAGGAAGTGTATCAATAGTCCAACATCTCACGATTGTATCAGATTAAAACTGAGATATTTTCCAATAGCTAGGGCGAAAGGAAAATTTAGGAATACTTTATAGGGTTCTTCAATCTATGGAAAGAGTACAAGCTTATTCACATGGGTGAGATATCCTCAACTTGTTGTCTGAAGACTCTGAAGGGACATTTTGATAGAAGGAAAGTAATGCACTTTTTGATACACCCCCAACCTAAGTTTGAGGTAATAAGATCAAACATCTTGTGTAGGTACACTATACCATCACTTGATACTATTTTGGATGAATTACTCAAAGAGCAAACCGGGATGATTACTCAATAAAAATGAATGCGAAGAATGATAAACTAGATGCTATGTTCCTAGCAACTGACAAGTCCAAACCAAAGGATTTATCTAGGGTGCAGTGTTACGAGTGCAAGGAATTTGGCCATGTGATATCTCATTGTAAAAAGAGAAATACTTACTGCAAAAAATTTGGTCACATCATTATAGAAAGCCTCACACGTCCACCTAAAGGGAATCAATGTGGTGGGAAGAAGAGTCATCACAAGGCATATTAGACTTCAGTTGAAGGAACAGATGATGTTTCGTCCTCTACATCTCGGACCAAGACAGATGTTGCAAATGCTCTGACTAAAGAAAAGATTCAACAAATAATGTGCTCTACAATCTCCTCTGCTTTTTTTGCTTTTGGCTTGTTTTGTAAGTATAGCTACTATTGTGCTTCTCCTAGTCATTTGTGGATAATATATTCTGGTGCTTCCAATCATATGATGGAGGCTACATGTGGTCAGCCATACGAGCCACTTTATAAATAGATATTTTCTATTCCTTTTGAAGCTAATGAAGATTTCTTTGAGTAGAAAAGTGTAGAAAATCTGTGTAAGAAAGAGAAAGAAAAGAGAAGGTTTGTGCAAAGAAGAAAAGAGGAGAGGAAATTGAAAAGAATGGGAGAAAGCCAAAATTAGGTTTGCTCATCCCTTTCATTAGCTTATATACTCTCACAAATAAAAACTGAATACAAAGACAAGCATGCCCTTAGTAAGTCGGCTACTTGTAAAAGCTAAGTAAACACTCTTAACTTAATCATAAACTAATGGGCCTTGGACTCAATAACTCACTAACTATGCTATGTAAATAAAAACAACTGTTATCAACCCAAAACCGAACACTCCCCCTGAAGTTGGGAAATTGATGTTGCACATTCCCAACTTGTGTAGATCATGCTCCTGCTTGTTTCTTGCAACACCTTTTGTAAAAACATCAGCAAGCTGCAAGTCGGATGCAACATATAGTAAGCACACTTCTTCGGACGTCACTCTTTCCCTTATAAAGTGTCTATCCACATATATATGCTTTGTCCTATCATGCTGAACTGGGTTGTGGGCGATGTTAATTGCTGCTTGATTGTTGTAGTATAGCATCATAGGTTCTTTGGCCTCGACTCCAATCTCCCATAACAAGGATTCGACTCAAAGTAGCTCTGAAACACCATGTGCCATGGCTCTATATTCAACTTTTGCACTTGACCTTGATACAATTGATTGTTTCTTACTCTTCCATGAAACTAGATTACCTCCAACAAGTGTGCAAACTCCTGATGTAGATCTTTTGTCATCTAGGCACCTTGCCCAATCAACATCTATGTAAGCCTCTAAATTTAAATGTCCATGGTCATCAAACATCCTCCTTTTAACTAGGGCTGTTCATAAGAAGGTCCAACTCGACCAAACCGACCAACCCAGACCGACCCAACCCGAGTCGGTCGGGTTTTCATCAGCACGGGTCGGTTTCGGGTTGTGCAAATTCCTAAACCGATGATTTGGGTGGGTTTCGGTTTTCACACAAGAAAACCGAAACCGATCCGAACTGAACTGAGTTCCTAGTTCAAACATGAAGTTCCAAAGCCCATTAGGCCACCTAGTTTTTGAATGGTTGCAAGAAACTTTGGATTA